ACTGTCCTAACTGGGAGGGGACATAGTTCAGTGCTATAGTGTTTGCCTGGTGCGTGTAAGGTTTAGCAAGGGTAAGAAAGGAAAAGAAACACCAAAACGTCAAAAAGCAAATGAGAGCAGGGCATAGTCAGAGACACCTGTCATCCGCCACTCGGGTGACAGAAGTAGGAGTGCGAGGCCAGCCTAAGATCAGCAGTTCTAAGATAGCCTGGCAACACAGCAAGACTCCACAGCAGAACAACAAATGCATTTGGTACACATAACCTACACAGCATCACTGTTTAGCAACACAGTGTAACTATCGTGTCAATGTTTCCATTCGTACTCATGTGGCTAAGTAGAAACTGAGAAAAAAAAACCCACAACTACAGCTACATGGACATGTCTTATACACACACATACACAGAGGAGGGCAGAGCATCTTCAACAAAGAGTGTGGAAAACCTATATTTTTATAAGTAGAACAACAAAATAAAATCTCACATGACAAAAAATTAACTTAAAATTAATTCAAGACCTTAAGTAGGTCCTTAAACTTCGAAATCAATAGAAGATATGAAGAAAAGACTTCAAGATGTAGGAATGGACAAGGGCTTTCTAAAAAGGCCTCAAACAGCAGAAAAGGTAATCCCAACAACTGACAAATGATGAAACTAAAACATCGATGCTCAGCACAGGAAGAATCGGCATACTGAAGAGACAGCACACAGGATGGGAGAAAAACCTTTGCCAACGACACATCTCATAAAAGATTAATACTTAGATTCCATAGAAAACTCAAAATACTAAACATTCAAAGACTATATCACCCAATAAACAAATGGAAAAATAAATTGAAGACATTTTTCAATAAAAGAAATTCAGAAGCTACAGAGATAATACATAGCTCAGCAGCTAAGAGCACGTGCTTTTCTTCCAGAGGATTCAGAATCAATTCTAGTACCCACATGACAGCCTACAAAACGGATCCAATAGCGTCTGGCTTCCTCAGGCACCAGATAAGCATGTGGTACACAGACATATATGCGAGCAAATCAAAAACACAAATGGACACAGCATATTAAAAATAAATATATTACTGGGTGGTGGTGGCGCATGCCTTTAATACCAGCACTCTGGCGGCAGAGGCAGGCAGAGCTCTGTGAGTTTGAGGCTAGCCTGGTCTATAGAGCGAGTTCCATGATAGCCAGGATTATAAAGAGAAACCCTGTCTCGATAAACCAAAGGGGGAAATATAATTTAACACCCTTAGTTGCCATGATAATGTAATTTAAAATTGCTTCTCAAATCTGTTTCATCACAGTCAAATTGGCTATTATCAAGAAAACAATGATGGCAGATACTGTTGAAGAGGGAGGGCAAAGAAATCCTTATACAGTTGCAGGTGAGAATGAAAACCGGTGAAGCCACTGTGTAGATCAATATAGGTATTCCTCGAAAACAAAAACAGGCCAGGCATGGGTGCAGTGATATTCATTTGTATTTTAATAAGTAAAGCTTGCCTGAAGTTCAGAGATTAAAACAGCCGCACTGGTCAGCCTTAAAGGTGACACACATCTTTAATCCCAGAAGCCACACTAGCTTGTCATAGACACCAAGTGGTAGTGGTGTCTGCCTTTAATGCCAGCACTAGAGAGGAATATAAAACGGGAGGAGACAGCTCTCAGACACAGTCTCATTCTGAGATTCCTGAAGGCAGGATCGCCATTTTGGACTGAGGTAGAGGTGAGAGCCAGTGGCTGGCTGCTTTGCTTTTCTGACCTTCAAGTTGAAAGCAATTTCTGTCTATTGGTTTTATTAATTGTGCTACACATTTGTGGCTCACTCCTTTAATCCCAGCATTTGAAAAACAGAGTCAGGCAGATCTTTGTGAGTTCAAAGCCTGTGTAGTCTACATACTGAATTCTAGGCCACCAGAGCTACACAGTTAGAGGATATCACAATAAATACATAGAACTACCCTATGATCCAGCCATACCATCCCTTGGCATATACATACCCAAAGGAATCTAAGCAAGCATACCAAAGAGATACTTGGACAACCATGCTTATTACAGTACTGTTCTCAATAGTCAAGATGTGGAAGTAACCCAGAAATCCAACAATAGATAAAGAAAATGTGGTACATATACTCATAGGAGTTTTATTCAGCCTGGATAGATGAGATCATTTTAATAAAAAATTTTTCCTTGTAAAATATTAAGGTATTATACTCACTTTGGCAACTACTTTGCCTTGTTTTGTCTTTCTTCCTTTTCTTTATGAGGCAATCACAGTGGATTATATAACCATTCAAGGTGTTTAATATACCCACACATGTGGTAGTTTGAATGAGAGGTTCCCCATAAATATCAAGCATTTGAATACTTGCCCAGTTGGTAGCTGTTACAGAGGATTAGGATGTGTACACTGGCCGGAGGAAGTATGGGTGTCGAAGGTGTCGAGGTGGATCCGCTCCACCTGGACCAAAGGTTAGAGAATTCAAGTCTGTTCCTTATACCATGTTAATAAAGTCCATTGCCTCACCTCTCCCCTTTTGGAGTGAAGTATATAAGCAGGTGGAAAATAACTTCAGGTGGTTCAGTACTCACTGAATGTCCCTCCCGAGGTTGTTCTGTGTTTCTGTCTCTGTTCCTTTTGCTTAATAATTCGAACCCTCACGGTCCTACACAGGAACGTACAAGTTTTGTCAAAGCTGTTCTTCAACAGCATGTCACTGGGGACAAGCTTTAAGGTCTCAAAAGGCTCAGGCCACTTCAAGTTAGCTCTCTCTGTTTTCTGGCTAGTGGCTGTGAGCTCTCAGCTATTGCTGCCATGCTCTCGTTCTGTCAAGATAGACTCTAGCCCTCGGGAACAACAAGCCCAGTTCAACTTTCTTCCATGAACTGCTTGGTCGTGGTCTCTCTAATACAATGGTGTAACTAATACAATGCACATTTTTATAGAGCCTTAGAAAATACAACTATATAAATATATACATATTTATGTATAAATAGAAAACACACATAACATAAAAAGCATCTGAGAATGAGAAAGCCTTCAATTTAGGACAATTGTTACTAAGTAAAGGAACACCACAGCTCAGCATAGGGCTATGGGACACTGTGTAAGGTGAGGATCCACTAGAAAGGCCTTAGCTGGCTGAGCATGATGGATTCAACAGGACGGGAATTCCAAATTCAAGGCCAGTCTGGGCTTTATGACAATATCCAAAAAGAAGAAGAAGGAGGAGAAGGAGAAGAAAGAAAGAAAACTTCAGTCTAGATAGCCTCAAATCCTTTGGTGATATTTTATTCCCTAACTTAGGTGGTATCAACTAGCTCAGCATATTGATTTGCAGGCTTTTTGCTGTTGTTTTTTAAGAAACTATAGCTGGGCATGCTGATGCAGACCTTTATCCTAGCAGACAGGGACCAAGAAATTTCTGTGAGTTCAAGGCCAGCTGGCCTATAAATGAATGTCCAAGAAAGGCAGAATTACACAGTGAGACCCTGTCTCAAAAAATCCAAAAGAATGTAAATATAAGTTAACTTTCATTTTATTTTTAATTCTACAATGTAAATACCTATTGCTATAAACTGAGAGAGAGCACCATGTGGGTAGGGTTCCCATGACAAGTATCACTGTACTAATAGAAAAAAGGGCACTGGCAAGCCCCTCTCTCACTCATTCTCCCTGTCTCACTCTCCCTCTCCTCATCTTTTACTCCTTCCTTCCCCTCTATCCTTCTCTCTATCTTCCTCTCTTTTACCCTCTTCTTCCCATCTGTACCTCTACAGACTCCTCTCCCCTTCCCTTTCCCATATAGTTTCAACGACAGGACAAACAAGAAGGCAACTGCTTGCAAGGCAAAAAAAAAAAAAAAAAAAAAAAAAAAAAAAAAAAAAAAAAAAAATCCACACCATGTCAAACAGGCCAGAACTATGAACTTGAATTTCTCAACCTCTACATTTATGAGAGTTAAAATTTTGTGTAAACATTCCCTTAAAGATACTGTGTTGTAGAGTAAATTAGAATTAATGTCTCCCTCCTTTTTTCTACTTAGTAATAGGACTAGAAAGCAAATTTTCTAACCACTGAGAAACATTTAGGCTGTTTACAGCTTTATACTCTGCCAAGAAAATTTTATACTGTACATTTTTAAGACTGATTTTTATTTTATATGTATGAGTGTTTTCCCTGCATATATGCATGCATACAATCTGAGTACCTGGTACACACAAAGGTCAGAAGAAGTTGTCAGGTCGCCTGCAACTGGAGTTATAGGTGGGTGTAAAACACCATATGGGTGCTGGGAACTGAACTGGGGTCCTCTTTAAGCAAGTGCTCTTAACCTCTGAGTCATACATCTTTCCAACCCAGTCTTTTTAACCTTTAAATCTGCACTGTGATTTTCTGACTAATGTGATGAACTTATTGCTCTATTGTGATATAGCCCCAGCACTAGCTACTTAGTACATCTTTTCCCCATCACAGCAACCAAGACGACACCATCATCAAAGACTGAATCCCCTTAACTTGCAAATCTGTTATTCTGATCTTTTTATGTTTTTACCTCTTCTGAGTAAGATGAATAAGGTAAAAGATAAGACTTTGCTAATTATTAGTAGCAGTGAATAACAGTTGCATCATGGCTATTCACAGTAGGCAACATGTATTTTTCTATGAATGTCCCAAAACTAATTACTTTAGACACTGTGCTCCAGTATCTTTAGGTTCTGAGTTTCAGAACAAAATAACCCTAACTGATCACTTGGTGACACAAAATCCTCTTGAGAATCAACGGCATACAAAATCCAGAAATTAATTAAAACCTCCTTTGAGCCATGAGATTCTATTCCATCTGGAGCTTATCAACTGTAGAGTATGCCACCATTACAGAACAAAGTGACTTAGACGTGGGATCTCCGGTACAGAACCAACAGCATCATCCTCTGTGGATTAAAGCGGCCTTTGAACACTAACATGCCAAGACAGAAGTCAAGAGGAAGAGTGGTTACCAGGGAGGAATCCTGCCTGCAGAGAGCTTGCCCTTCTGCCCTTCACACAAGAGTCTGTTTGCAACTGAGACTGGATTCTTGATTCCTACAATAGAAAAGTGACATAAAAAGAGATCAGAAATGTCTTCACATGTCTCCATTTAGTTTTGTGCTATTTCAATAACTTTAAAATATCTTTGAGCTGGAGAGATGGCTCAGAGGTTAAGAGCACTGACTACTCTTCCAGAGGTCCTGAGTTCAATTCCCAGCAACCACATGGTGGCTCACAACCATCTGTAATGAGAGCTGGTGCCCTCTTCTGGCATGCAAGCATACATGGAATGAATGTTGTATACATAATAAATAAATAAATCTTTAAAATATCTTTGAAATTCTTTACAGACAC